GATAACATTACAGGTTGTGTTTGTTTATTGGAAAATAGCGAAATGAGAGAGACTGACCTGAAAGAAATTGATGAAGAGCGTCCTTTCCTCTGGTGATGTTGAATTGCGTGCCGAAAGTGCCACGTCAAACTCCAGCACAACACCGGTGTGTGCGTACACAGCGTCACAGCGCGCGTCCGTCCTGCGCATGCGCACACTGAAGGGAACCGCTACACGTCAGCAGGGCATACAGATGTGCGTATTAAGCGAATGGCATTCTGGGCTGCCTTCACAGAGGATGATGATAATATGGTTATAAATAGTTGATTGTAAGTGTTCATAAACGTAACATTGAATCATTAAAGCTACTGAGCTAAAGCTACCATGCTACTGTTGTAACACTGTGATACTTATACAATACAGACAGTGTAAAGCCATCCAATTCACTATTTTAAGAGGCATGTTTTCCCAGCACACAGTATAAACACAGTGGAGACCAACAATCTCAATTAACTTAATTAACAACATGTTGTCATATAGTCACAGTGGCCTGAAATGCTGCGTTGTCTAAAGTAGAGATGCCCCAACTAGGGCCTGAGGGCCAAAGTTGGCCCATGATAACCTTTAATTTGGCCCGCCATCCCATCTGAGAAGAGAGGGAGAACGATGTGCATGGTTTCAAGGTTGTCAAATTTAATGTAACCTTTTGTTTGTTTGTTTGTTTGTTTTATTGTTAAAGGTTTGCTGTTTCAATTAAATCCCTGCTGAAAAATCCTACTTAAACCAGCCTAGGCTGGTTGGCTGGTTTTAGCTGGTCGACCAGCCTGGTTTTAGAGGGGCTTTGGCCATTTCCAGTCTGGTTTCCAGCCTGGTCTTAGCTGGTCAGGCTGGAAAATTTCCAGCCAAATCCAGCTAAAACCAGCTTGACCTGCCTGGTTTAAGCTTGATATAGCTGGTTTTGGTTGGACTTCCAACTTGGCAAGGCTGGTCGAGCTGGTTTTAGCTGGTTATCTCCCAGCCTGACCAGCTAAGATCAGGCTGGAAATGGCTGGAAAACCAGCCTGGAAGTGTCCAAACCCCTCTAAAACCAGCCTGGTCGACCAAACTAGCCAACCAGGCTGGTTTAAGCTGAATTTTTCAGCTAGGATGGTGTAAATGAATCAGATTTTGTTTAGACACTGTCATACTGTGTATACTGATAATCCAGAGACTTTGGTTAGCAAATCAGATTCTGCTTGACTAGTATTCAGCATAGGTAGGTAGGTAGGTGGGTAACTTTATTTATACCCGAAAGTAGATTTGGTTTGCAGACAAGAGTCCTCATCTCACAACAGTGCCACACTAGGAACTCACATAACAACAACAAATGAACATTAAGACAAAGTGTCCACCCCCCGACTAAAGATAATGTTTAAAATGATGTAAAATATACAAGTGACTGAAACAGCTCTGCTTCAGTCTATTCCTTATTTGAATGTCTAATAGCTGCTGGTATGAAACTATTTTTGTATCGTTTTATTCTACAGCTTAACACTAGAAACCTGCAACCAGAAGGAAGGAGCTAAAACTCTGAGTGTAGGGGATGAGCAGTGTCACTTAAAATTGAATTTGTGATTCTCTCTAGCTGCCTAGTGTACACAGCCCCTAGATTGGCTAGTGACAACCCGGTCAGCTTACTGGAGTGGACCCCTTAACTATTTGATTTAGTGAGTTTTTATTCTTGACAGAGAGATTTCCAAACCAAAGTTAAAACGGATTCAAGAAACGCATGATAAAATGAGTCATCATGAGATTATCAATATGGAAATAATTTATCTTTCGCAAGCAAAATAGTCGCTGGTGCCCCTTTTTACACACTGCTGCACAATTCTCCTCAAAGGAAAGTTTAGAGTCAATAATTGTACCAAGGTATTCGTATGATTGTACACTTTCCACAGTCTGATTTTTAATGGAAGTGCTCAACTGTGTGTGAGCAGCCTTCCTAAAATCAACGACCATATCTTTCATTGAACTGAATCTACGTTATAAATGTGATTGTGTTATTAATGCAATGAGTTGTCATTTAAAAAGCTGTACTGCATTAACTAATACCATATAACGTAAGGTTTTTCTATTGATTTTGAAATATTATTAAATAACTTCGCCATGTTAGAAATTAGCCATGGCAACTTTAATGTAATATACTGTACTTTGGTATATATTTACCTTCGGCCAAAAGCTATCAATGACATTTGGATTTTGGCCCTTTATACGAAAAGTTTGGGCACCACTGAACTAAAGTATATCAATCATAATACAGTTTTTTCAGCTATATTAAACGAGAAAACAATAATAAACTAAATTAACATCTGCAAATACATTAATAATATAAAGTAATATTCCTATTATCACAAAATTTAGACAGTACAGAGCATAAATAAAATAAATAAATAAACAGACAAGGGGAAAATTGATTACTAAGTAGTTGTTATGACTACTTTTATCATTCTAATGTCATTTTAAAAACATATCATGCCTATTTAACTCATTTTAAAAGTATTTCTCAAACTTAACATCTAGTTAGGGGAGAGTGGCGACGAAAGTAACGTGGGACAAAAGTAACAAAGCAATTTTCTCGAAGCCCTGACAGATTTCCAGGCTATAACAGCACATTCAGCATGCAACCCTTGGTGGAGCTGCTGCTGTAAATATCATGTGATGTGTGTCCCGGAGTTAGCTTTTTTCCTTATTACATGTTGTGTTTCTCTTTTCATGTGTCACAATGATCAATCTACAGGTTACTAAATGCAATAACACATCTTTAAGTTTGAAATGAGTTTTTCAGTTTAAAGGTAGATCAGGTTTAAATGGGGTTAGGGCTGAAAGTGACACAGACAGTGATTTATCTGCTAATAGCCATGCCTTATTTTTCACTTCCACATTAGAGTTTGCAGTGCTTTGACTCATATGTTTCATAAGATTAATGCATATTGCCAATAATAATTTAAAAATATTTTAAAAATTGTAGAAAAGTTTAACATTTTGCATTGGTGGGTTGCCTTTGAAACATTTGATGGATCAAAAATGAAAATGCAGTTTAATTTTTTTCTTCCAAAAATAAAAGACAAAATATGTCTGCATTGAACTTTAACAAGGTCATAATCAGATATATTTAAAATAATAAACAAATATTGTTGTATTACTTTTGACCCAGGCGTGTGTTACTTTTGCCCCTGCTGATGGGGTCAAAAGTAACAACGTGCAACGTTTATATAAAGTGAAGTTATATCGGAGTTGTTCTACACTGATACAAAATAACCTTCAGTTATAAGTCTTAGTAACCACAACAAAAATGTATTTCTGCTAAAAATATTTAATCTTTAAAAAAATTTCTACCCAAATTTTGGGTTGAGGCATTTGGGTAATTTTTTTGGGTAGTTATAACCCAGCTCTTTGCGTCAAATCAACTCACAGCAGGGGCTGACTGGAATACCACATATTATATACTAATTTGTTTAAATGCAATGAAAATAGTGTAGCATAAACACAGATTCCTTGCGTTTTCAGATGATTAAAATGAGATTTTTGCCCATAGCAGCCCTTAGTCAGACCTTTCTGAATTTTTGAATTTCTTACTTTCACCTTTTGTACACCTGTAATCAAAGCTGCACACCCCCCACCGTACTTCAGTGACACCAAGTCACAACAGCACAATTGGTGGGTCATCTTTCGTGGACATTTTTGGATCAAATTAACCTTTTATTTAAGTAATAAATAAATAACCAATTATTGGGTAGAAAAAACAACCCATTTATGGCGTTAAAATAATAACCAAATTACTTGGGTTAATTTAACCCCTACCCAGCAGTAGGGTTAAAATACAACCCAATTGGGGTAGTTTTTAACCCTGTGTTTTTTTAGAGTGTATCAGCTGTTTAGATACACCTTTAAATTTCTATTCACAATTACTTGTCAAATACTGTTAATCCAATTTATCAGTTAATTGGTGAATTTCTTTGGAACAGAATCTATGAATTTAGTAATTTTTATATAATATATTTTTATTGAAATGCAATTATTTATGTGCAACTATCACTTAAGCGAGGCAGTGGCGCAGTGGGTAGTGCTGTTGCCTCACAGCAAGAAGGTTGCTGGGTCGCTGGTTCGTTCGAACCTCGGCTCAGTTGGTGTTTCTGGGTGGAGTTTGCATGTTCTCCCTGCCTTCGCGTGGGTTTCCTCTGGTTTCCCCCAGTCTAAATACATGTGGTAAAAAAATTGAAAAAAATACCGTATTGTATGAGTGTGGATGTTTTCCAGAGATGGTTTGCACCCGGAAAGGCATCTGCTGCGTAAAACTTGCTGGATAAGTTGGTGGTTCATTCCGCTGTAGTGACCCCGGATTAATAAAGGGACTAAGCCAACAAGAAAATGAGTGAATGAAACATAAGGTCCATTCCTCTATAACTTCCGCATATATTCGCATTTGGTTGTTTTGGAAACGAATTAAGAACGTTATCTGGAAGCGTTCTCCATATGTTTCTTTGGGTTATCAAAAACGAATCTTCTAGCAACGTTGCAGGGAGGTTTTTGTAACAATTTAAAAATAACCTAAAAGAAAATGTTCTGGAACCGACAAACTAATGCTGTTTCTGTGGTATTTGAATAATATATTTTAGATTTTGAAATTAGAATTATTTAAATAAAATCAAGTACATAATAAATTATGTCATGATTTGATTTGATTTTTGGAAAGCTGCTCATCCAATCAGAACGTTCTCCTAACCATGTCGTAAAAGATGTAGGTTACACTTTTTTTCAAGAATGCTAAAGTGTAGCTACTTTACTTTTTCATATGTTTATCTTTTTTTCAGTACTCAGGACGCTTATTCTCGTGTTGTTTCTTTAAGCACAGGTTAAGTTAGAGCAGAGTTTATCTCCTCAGGATGGTCCCTGAAAGCATGACGCAGAAAAGAGGGCCGGACTCCAGCTGTTGTGCTTTTCCACCCACTGAAGAAAGCCTCAGAAACTGCAGTGAACACTAATTCGCTTTCTGTCAGACTAGAGGATCTGCTTGCTTGATGATGGGAACCGGGGAGTTTGTGTGCGTGACGCTGCGCGGCGGCGCGCCGTGGGGATTCAGACTCCGCCAGAGCGCGCACGAAAGCCAACATCCAATCCAGCTGCTTCAGGTGAGACCAATGGCTCTTTTTTATGATTCTACAATCCAGTTAAACTACATGTGGGAAGAGATCTAGTTAGAGTGACGAATTAATTATTTATTAATTTGTTATTGTGCATGAATAGCTACTGGTTTCATTTCTCAAGATCTTTAATGGAGTTATGGAAATGTAGAAAGCTGGCTGACCTGATAAAAACAGCCTGGGCAGACTATAAAGAGCAGTAAACTTAAGTTTTAGGTTGGTTCGAGCAGCTTTTTAGTCAAAATGATAGATTGTTATATTGATTAATGCTAATTTTACATCTAAATAATGTGTCTGACTCTGTCCTGACCCGCTATTATTATGATTTATCAATAATCCAGTTTACACCACCTGTGAGCAAAGACCTGGACTGATATCTATTGTATTTTTGACTGTGCATGAATTCACTGGTTCACTTTCTCATGATCTTTAATGGGGTTTTGGAAATTTAGTGTTGCCAAGAAAGGGATGCCAGCTGAAAAAAACAACTTAGACAGTCAATACAGAGCAGTAAACCATGTCTTAGGTTGGTTTGAGCTGCTTTTTAGGCCAGACTGATAGATTTGCTTAGTGATAACATCTTATAATACTGAACTGTGACTCCCAACTCGCGTTTGATTCAATACTCAACACCAGTGGTTCTCAAAGTGGGGGTGGGGGGTCGCCTGGTGATTTCCAAAAATCTTTTTATTTTTATTAAGCCATAAGAATGACCATATTTTATCCATAACCTACTGAAAAAAATAGTTGTTTATAGTATATACTATATAGTAGCTTATAGTAACTAGTTCTAATGGATTGCGACCCCTGAGGTAATTACATTATATTAAAGACTGATGCAGCAGGCTGATTTTATAATGTAATATATTATAAAGTAATTTTATAATTAAAAAAAATAAGCCAAGAATAGACTTCGGTCTATTGGTACATGCAATTGCATGCAAGGTTTCTGTATTTATAGCCACCTCAGAGGATATTGGGGGTCGCGAGTCACTGCCATTGTTATTTTGGGGGTTGCAGACTGGAAAGTTTGGGAACCCCTGCTCTGTGGGCAGAGAGAGTGACGTATAACACATTTATAAGTTATCGTGCATGAATAGCTTCACTGGTTCACTTTCTTAAGATCTTAAAATGTGTGAATGTGTGATTCCTGACTCTCTGTGATTCAACAATAGTCCAGTTTTCACTAGCTGTGGGCAGAGATCTGGTGAGAGTGATGAATATCTGTTGTCTTTTCTATCATTATTGTGCATGAATATCTTCACTGGTTCACTTTCTCAAGATCTTAAATGGGGTTTTGGAAATGTAGAAAGTGATGCCAGCTAGCTGACCAGCTAAAAACAACTTAGACAGTCATTTCAGAGCAGTAAACCATGTTTTAGGTTGGTTTAGGCTGCTTTTTAGGGCAAAGTGAGAGATTTGCTTAATGATAAATGCAAGTTTACATCTTATATTATGAATGTGTGACTCCTGACTTGCTCTTATTATAATTCAACACTCCAGTTTACACTACCTGTGGGCAGAGATCTGGTAAGAGTGACGAATAACGAATTTATTTGTTTTTGTGCATGAATAGCTTCACTGGTTCACATTCTCAAGATCTTGTAATACTGAGTTCTGACTTGCTCATATTACGAATAAACAATAAGCCAGTTTACACAATTGGTTTACACTAGCTGTGGGCAGAGATCTGGTGAGAGTGATGAATATCTGTTGTCTTTTCTATCATTATTGTGCATGAATATCTTCACTGGTTCACTTTCTCAAGATCTTAAATGGGGTTTTGGAAATGTAGAAAGTGATGCCAGCTAGCTGACCAGCTAAAAACAACTTAGACAGTCATTTCAGAGCAGTAAACCATGTTTTAGGTTGGTTTAGGCTGCTTTTTAGGGCAAAGTGAGAGATTTGCTTAATGATAAATGCAAGTTTACATCTTATATTATGAATGTGTGACTCCTGACTTGCTCTTATTATAATTCAACACTCCAGTTTACACTACCTGTGGGCAGAGATCTGGTAAGAGTGACGAATAACGAATTTATTTGTTTTTGTGCATGAATAGCTTCACTGGTTCACATTCTCAAGATCTTGTAATACTGAGTTCTGACTTGCTCATATTACGAATAAACAATAAGCCAGTTTACACAATTGGTTTACACTAGCTGTGGGCAGAGATCTGGTGAGAGTGATGAATATCTGTTGTCTTTTCTATCATTATTGTGCATGAATATCTTCACTGGTTCACTTTCTCAAGATCTTAAATGGGGTTTTGGAAATGTAGAAAGGGATGCCAGCTGGCTGACCAGCTAAAAACAACTTAGACAGTCATTTCAGAGCAGTAAACCATGTTTTAGGTTGGTTTAGGCAGCTTTTTAGGGCAAAGTGAGAGATTTGCTTAATGATAAATGCAAGTTTACATCTTATATTATGAATGTGTGACTCCTGACTTGCTCTTATTATAATTCAACACTCCAGTTTACACTAGCTGTGGGCAGAGATCTGGTGAGAGGGATGAATATCTGTTGCCTTTTCTATCATTATTGTGCATGAATATCTTCACTGGTTCACTTTCTCAAGATCTTAAATGGGCTTTTGGAAATGTAGAAAGGGATGCCAGCTAGCTGACCAGCTAAAAACAACTTAGACAGTCAATAGAGAGCAGTTTGGACTGTTTTCAGCAGCTTTTATTTAATGGCAGAATGAAACAAATTTCTTTTGGACAAATGTAACTTTAATAAACATCTGTAATACGCTCAAAAATATATATATACTTGCTGTTTGTTCAAACTATACGTTAAAAATAAGCTGAAACAACACAATTCTTCAGTGTTTTTGGGACAACTTTATTATTTTATGCTTAATCCACTTAAATTTGTAAAAAAATAAATTAATTAATTAATTAAAAAAACAATCGATTGTGTGTAACCCAGCATTTTTTTTTACATTGTAATAATATGTGACCCCTAAGAGTTGTTTATACAGTAATAAATGAAGATTTTACAGAACATAAAGGCAGTTCTCCTATAAGGATACAGTTAAATAGGACAAAACAGCGAGCGTTATTCGTCTGTGTTGTATGTATACGGGCAGTGTTGTATACAGATTCCTGCATAATGACAGCATATCTCAGTGGCCACCCTCAGAGTTCAGACTGGTCAGTTGGTTTGATAAATGTTCACTGGCAAAGTTGTTTTGCTTGAGCTGAATTTTTACAGGCAGATCTGTGCTGCGCCTGTCCCAGACTGGAGCAGGGGTCCTTATATGGTCACAGCAAAGCTAACAAAGTTTGTTGGCCGAGTTTAGGCTGTCTGTCATCACTCCCATAGACATCAAGAATCTAAACTGTTAGTATTGAGAAGCTGGAATTATTTGTTGATCCCTTTTTTTTTGCTGATTTAGTGCTTGTGTGAGAATTGGTGAGACGTTTTGTGAGTGGGGAATGTATAGGATATCATGCATATGTTTTATGTTCTGATGATGGGGTATTTGTATGGAAATGCTCAGCACAGCCTGTGGAGACTCCTGTTTATACTTAAATGCTTTGCTTACTTTACAGTTTAATACATTTAAAAGATCATCGCAGCCGTTAAATATATTTATTTAAACCAGCTTGACCAGCCTGGTTTAAGCTGGACAAAGTTGGTTTTGGCTGGGCTCTCAGTCTGGCTAGGCTGGTCGAGCTGGTTTTAGCTGGTCATCTTCCAGCCTGACCAGCTGAGACCAGGCTGGAAATGACTGGAGACCAGCCTGGAAATGGCCAAAACCTCTCTAAAACCAGCCTGGTCGACCAGCTAAAACCAGCCAACCAGCCTTTTTTCAGTAGGGCAGATTTAGCCAGGATGCCGGGGTTAAACCCCTACTCTTTATCGAAGGACATCCTGGGATTTTAAATGACCACAGTTTAACGTCTCATTTGAAAGACTGAGCAGTATAGAGTCCCTGTCGCTATACTGGAGCATTAGGACCCACACATACCGCAGGTTGGGTGCCCCCAGCTGGCCTCACTAACACCACTTCCGGCACCAACCAAGCTTTCCCATGTGGTTTCCCATCCAGGTACTGACCAGGCGCAGCTTCAGTGGGCGACCATGTGAGAGTTGCAGAGAGCTTAATAAAGGCATAAACACATTAAGGGTGTTTATTTGTTGAAATTCGTATTAAGATGAACTAAAGTTTAAAATACGATATCGTACTAAAGCACCACCAGTTTAAAATACTTAAAGGCATAGTACACACAAAACAGATCACCCAAAAAAGGAAAGTTTCCTCACAATTTACTCAAACTTAAGTGCATCTATGCTGGAATTAGTTAGCTAAAGGTCTGTGTATTATTCTGGAGTACTATAAGTCTCTGGCATCTAATAAGGGGTCGAATGTTGAGTTCATTAAAAGTACAGATTGATACAGGCTCTTTTGAACGTGCACCTACAAAAATATTTTCATAATCAGCCGTTGGAAGGCGTTCAGAAAATTGTAGTAAGGAGTTGTGTTTAACTTGAAGTCATTTAGCTTTCAGCATTACAGCTGGATTCACTCTGGTAAACCGCTACCCGACTTACTGCACGAGTTTATGAAAGTTTGCCCTAATGTGGATTTAACAATGGGAACGTGACCGTCGGTGGACCACCGTGGTTAGTTTTACCTGAAATGTACGCTGGAAACACTGAAAGATAATTGCTGAAAGCTGTGGGAGGCAGAAGCTGCCTGAAAGGCACAGGAACTTTCCAGAACGCCGCTTTTACTCAGTGTGGGAATGAATGAGAGCGAAACTAACCATGCATTTCTTCTCTTTCTCTCTATTTCGGTGCCAAATGTTGTTGGGTTACAATGTCCAAAAACAAAGGGTCTATAACAAAATTAGCTTTGCTTGCAGACATATGAAAATCAAAGTGTTTAGTAACAAATGCTCATGGTTACTTTTAAAGCAGCAAGACATTTATTGAAAGACTTATGAACCCTTTCTTTACATGAGCAACATGTTTGCAATA